GACTTACGGCGCACGTGGCAAGACGTCGCCCAATGGAGAGAAAAGGCACTGTGCCGTCGAGCCACGGCTGATCATGAGCGCCTTCAGGTGCGCCCACTTCGGACCTACCTCTTCTGCGCGCTGGCCAAACAGTGCTGGTACAAAACCAAACAGGAAACCATCCGCTCCAGTGGGACCGCCGCGGAGTTATTGTGGAAGTGCTGCCATTCCGTCAGTACAAAGTCATGCTGGACGGCTCACGACAGCTCACTCTCCGCAACCGCAAATTCCTTCGAGCGTTCACTCCAGTCTCTCTCCCCTGCCCCCCTGCCGGCATCCCGCACAGCTCCATCGCCACAGACAACACCGCAGCGGATGACCTCGCCAGTGGCTCTGGAGGCATCCGACAGACCTGCTCTGCGAGAGCGCGCTCCACCGACGCCCTCACCATCGTCACAGATGACCACCCCTCCGCTGAGGCGTTCGGCACGAGTGGCCAGGGCAGCGGGTTCGCGTCAGTGTTGTATGATCTAGCCCTCATTAGGGGTGTACGCATGAACATGCCTGCTGTCTGTACTCGCATTTTGTAGTCAGCATCGCATTATGACCCCCGTTGTTTCATGACATATAGCTGCATTTCGATTCATGTACTCATTGGCAGCTACCGCAACATGACACGGACTACCGTCCTCTGGGAGGGGGCATAGCTGAGGTTCACTCATCGAAAGGGTCACACCGAGATGTGACCGTAACCATGGTAACCGCTTGTTTTGGACCTGAGAGGGTTGTGTGCTAAATTGAATCAGTTGCTTGCCTCCCTGCATTGAATAAACACATGAACTATCTTTATTGTGTGCTATCTTTAACATGCTATAGTTCTTGATTAAAAATAAAGTGTTTGACAAATGCTGCTCAGCTAGGAATTTTGATACTTTTTGTGCACTAATGCAAAGCAGTCATATATATAGAACAACTATGCTTTGTTGAGTCGTTTCATGCTCTATTTTTACTTAGCACACACCCTAAGAAACAAAATAATTGGTATAAAATATTGTCATGTTTTGTCATTCGCGCGCCATAATTGCATTCAACAGTCTTCTGCTGTCAAATGTTTTGCGTGTTATTTTCTTTCAATAATAGGATAATGTGAACTATCATTTATATCTTTTTCCAACAGCATCATTATTTATAATTTAATAAGGCAGCTTTTGACATGAATACTAGACAAAATTTAATAAAAAGAAGCAATATCTTTAACATGCTATAGTTCTTGATTAAAAACAATTTTACTGTTTACAAGTTTATTTGCAAACATTTTCTGATCGGAGGTGCCACTGGTGATGAAGCTTAGTGAAATCGGTTTTTACGTAGTTGGTAAAAATACTTATGAATTGTCAGGGCTGTCTCATCCCTATCTCCGTAACGTGTCGTGTGCGACCAATGACGTCACGGCATTGCGGCGTTCTGATTGGGCGGCAGCTCCGAATCGCCCGACTGGTGGTCCCCGCTCGACAAGCGCACGTGCGCCGACTATAGGCATTTGTAGTGGCATTGACGGCAGAAAAAAGTGAGTTAATGCAGAGCTCTGAATATACTTGAATAGTGTCTAAGCCGTTGGTAATTTCAATTCAATTTTCAATTCATTCCGGTTCCCACCGGTGGTATATTTGAACAGGTACAAAGAAAGCGAGTGAGAGCAGCCCATGGAACAGAAAACAGATGGCGTACATGGCAGTTCTAATAGATAGATGGCGCTGCTCGTGGAAGGGGGTTGGATTTAGGATATGTACATGCTAGTATTGTTAGAGTGGTCAGTCAGTGTTAGTAGTTAAGTAGGTTGTAGGTAAGAGCAGCGCCATTGCCATTAGATTCACACAGTGCATACAGGGTGTTCGCGAAAATATGTCATGATTTCGTTGCACTATTATAGAAAACTCAAGAAAGATAAAATGAAAAATCTTTCAGCTCCAAATAGCTATGTCCTTCAAGTTTTATTTCAGACATGTCACATTGTCATGCGTTGAGTCGTACGCACTCTACACCCCGTTTTCCACATGGCCCCCTTTCCGGCTTATGCAAAGCTCGGCCCGAGCTTCCACTTGTCGGATCACTCGGACGCACGTGTCCGTAGTGATCGCACGGGCGGCCTCTGTTATTGCTCTCTTGAGCTCGGCCAGACTCTTGGCCTTCGTTTTTCTGACCTCAGATTTGAGATATCCCCATAGGTAGAAGTCCATGGGGGTGAGATCTGGTGAGTGTGCCGGCCATGGGGTGGGGGTCTTCCTGCTCAGGATACGAGCTCCGAAGTGGTCAACCAGCCACTGCAGAGCAAGTCTGGAAGTGTGAGCCGGAGCCCCATCCTGCTGGAACCAATATGTGCCGTTCCTGATCTTGTGTTGCTTTTGGTGATCGCACAGCTGTTGCCAAAACTTCTCCAGCACTGCTGCGTAGCCGTGTTGATCAACAGTGGTGGTGGATCGATTCGGGGACTCGAAGAAAAAAGGTCCCACAACACCACTTGCACTCATCGCGCACCAAGCGGTGACCTTCGGACTGTGAAGTGGACGTTCTGACACAGCCTCAGGTGGTACATTTTCCGCCCAAAGGCGACTGTTTTGTCGGTTGGGGTCTCCATGAAGGTAGAAGTGGGCCTCGTCAGAAAACCAGACACGGCTGGTGAACTGTTGATCGGAGTTGACCTTGTCCTTCAACCACATGGCAAAGGCCAGCCTTTGCTTTTTATCTTCTTCTGAGAGCGCCTGCTGGATCTTGATCTTGTACGGCTTGAGTCCCAAGTCAGTGTGAAGGACAGAATGTACCAGGGTGGGGCCGCACCCAACTTCTTGCGCGAGCTGCCGGATGGATTTGGAAGGCACCCTGGTGATCAACTGCTTGATCTTTTTTACCATTTTTTGGACCCTTTTGAACTTTTTTCTGCCACTTTGTCCCTTGTTCTCATTTTTGACTGTGCCCTTTCCAATGAACTTCTCTTGCAGTCGCAAAATCGTCCTTGCGCAAGGCGCAGTGGACGTTTTAAAGCAGGTGCGATAGCGTCGCTGGACGGCCACAATGGACTGCGTCTCCCAGTACCATTTCACTATTTTTGTTTTCTGGTCCGTAGAGAGCAACATGTTGGAACAAACTAGCTAAAAAACACATGAAACAAAACTTGAAAATTTGTTTAATTGAATGAATAAAAAATAATACACCTAACTTTGACAAGGGTCCTCCAGGAAGCAGATAAATCATGACATATTTTCGCGAACACCCTGTACAGTGAATGCAGCTGAGGAGAAATCTCACATCCCCCTCACGCCACCACCGGGGCAGTGTGATTGCCCAAACGACTGTCCCCACTGCTCACCATCGGCGGCCCACCTGGCCAGGCCGGGACGGTGCCGTCCACGGCCCTGGGGAGAGCTGGGGGATGCTTCCCCAGCCGGGGAGATCTGATGGCTACCTCCCCGGCGCTCCAGGCGGGCCGCCAGCCCCCGCCCGCACCGCCCGGCAAGCAACCCCGGACGGTGCCCCCTAACCACCGACCGGGCGAGCGAAGCGTCGACCCGTCTAGGTCGGCGCTCCGCACGCCCGGCCGGCCGACCGGCCCCTCACAGGAGGGGCCAGTCCCGGGTTGGCCCGGATGGGTCATAGGGGCGGGGGCTTGGGCTTGTTTCGCGCACATCGAGGCCGTAAACGCACATAATACGTAAAAACGTCAGATAGGTTTCTTGTTTGTCTTGATTTGAGCTTTAATATGATATGATTTTTACCTTAGTGTCGAGTCTGGCAGCTATGTGGGAGAGCCCTAAAGTTGGGTCATTTTCCATAGAATTGCATTACAGCCGTCCGACGCTTCGTACCTGTGACGTCACGGAAATCGCTGCTTTGGCCTAATGAGCATACCTTCTATATAGGGCCTTGATGAATTGTAAACTACAAACACTTGTAATTACAAGTTTTTAGTGAAACAGGCCTCTGGTCTATGTGTATCGCTCATGATGTACACAGTGCAGCAAAAAGTAAAAATGCGTAATTTGTGCAATTTAACGCAGTCCGTCAAGCAAACACAAAGATGTTTCTGCACGTCTGAGGGCTTGCACCCGAGGGAAACTCCAAAGAAGATAACAATTCAAAGAACCGTTAATAAACTCAAAACAGAGGGCATGGTTCAATGATAAACACGACAGAAAATAAAATTGGTAAGCGAGCCCCGGAAACCGGAAAGGTGATTTGTGGGCGCCACACCCCCGGAGCTCAACGTCGTACTGCATTCTTCCTCTGGGGCTATGCAAAGTCCGAGGTCCATGAGGAGAGTCCCCAGGATATTCTGCGGCTGAAGGATGCCATTGGAAGCTGCTTTGGTTCCATTTCCTTAGGAATGTGGTGCGTCCGCGCCATCGCCAACTTTAGGCTCTGGTGCTGGAGCGCATCCGTCGCCGAGGAGGTCATTTTGAGCATCTTGTCTAAAAGAAGTGTGAGAGTCAAAGGAAAAGTGCATGTGACTGATGCTATACATGGATGAAAACTTCAGATTTGGCTGTTTAATATGGTACTTGGCAATCGTATGTAACACGAAACCATTTCCTGTAGTTTCATTTATTTTCGGTCACACGGCTATGAATCACCCGGTATATCATTCATAGTGGCTGTAAGCTGAAGTGTGTGTGTGTGGGCACCGCTCTCACCCAACTGAAACTGTGAGCTGTGGTGTGTGTGGTGGGCACCGCTCTCACCCATGTGAAGCTGTGAGCTGTGGTGTGTGTGGAGGGCACCGCTCTCACCCATGTGAAGCTGTGAGCTGTGGTGTGTGTGGAGGGCACCGCTCTCACCCATGTGAAGCTGTGAGCTGTGGTGTGTGTGGAGGGCACCGCTCTCACCCATGTGAAGCTGTGAGCTGTGGTGTGTGTGGAGGGCACCGCTCTCACCCATGTGAAGCTGTGAGCTGTGGTGTGTGTGGTGGGCACCGCTCTCACCCATGTGAAGCTGTGAGCTGTGGTGTGTGTGGAGGGCACCGCTCTCACCCATGTGAAGCCGATGCAGCCGATGGCGTCGCTGAGAATGTCGGCGCAGATGGCTGGGTACGAGTTGCCCGTGGGGAAGTAGGCGTGAAACTGGGGCGAGTGCCAGTGCGTCACACCGGGCATGATGACCCGCTCCACGTCGTCCATAACTTCCCGCCAGCTCTCGCCCTCTTCGGGAGCCTGGTCAGGGATCAGGGCGCGCAGGTAGCCCGGCTGTACCGTGGGCAGCACCCGTCTGTAACACAGACACCACCCGTCTGTAACACAGACACCACCCGTCTGTAACACAGACACCACCCGTCTGTAACACAGACACCACCCGTCTGTAACACAGAGAGCCACCCGTCTGTAACAAAGACACCACCCGTCTGTAACACAGACACCACCCGTCTGTAACACAGAGAGCCACCGCCTGTTACAAAGACAACACCCGTCTGTAACACAGCGAGTCACTGTAACACAGACACCACCCGTCTGTAACACAGACACCACCCGTATGTAACACAGACACCACCCGTCTGTAACACAGACACCACCCGTCTGTAACACAGAGAGCCACCCGTCTGTAACACAGCGAGTCACTGTAACACAGACAACACCCGTCTGTAACACAGAGAGTCACCGCCTGTTACAAAGACACCACCCGTCTGTAACACAGACACCACCCGTCTGTAACACAGAGAGCCACCCGTCTGTAACACAGACACCACCCGTCTGTAACACAGACACCACCCGTCTGTAACACAGACACCACCCGTCTGTAACACAAAGAGCCACCCGTCTGTAACACAGACACCACCCGTCTGTAACACAGCGAGTCACTGTAACACAGACAACACCCGTCTGTAACACAGAGAGTCACCGCCTGTTACAAAGACACCACCCGTCTGTAACACAGACACCACCCGTCTGTAACACAGAGAGCCACCCGTCTGTTATAAAGACAACACCCGTCTGTAACACAGCGAGTCACTGTAACACAGACACCACCCGTCTGTAACACAGCGAGTCACTGTAACACAGACAACACCCGTCTGTAACACAGAGAGTCACCGCCTGTTACAAAGACACCACCCGTCTGTAACACAGACACCACCCGTCTGTAACACAGAGAGCCACCCGTCTGTAACAAAGACACCACCCGTCTGTAACACAGACACCACCCGTCTGTAACACAGAGAGCCACCCGTCTGTAACACAGACACCACCCGTCTGTAACACAGACACCACCCGTCTGTAACACAGACACCACCCGTCTGTAACACAGACACCACCCGTCTGTAACACAGACACCACCCGTCTCTAACACAGAGAGTCGCCGACTGTAACACAGGGAGCCACCGTCCGTAACACAGGGAGTCACTGTCTAAACCACAGACACCACCCATGTGTAACACAGAGTCACCGTTTGTAACACAAACACCACCCGTCTGTAACACAGACACCACCCATATGTAAGACTAGTAGTGTCAATCGGTTACCGAAAAATTCGGTTACCGAAAAGATGTGCTGGCCGATTAGGTAGTCGGTTGGTCACGCCCCCCCCCAAATCGGACATTTTCGGTCACCCTGTCAGTGAAACCATTTTCAAAAAAGAGAAAGCATTCCATTTTGCCTAGTTAAAATGAACTTTATTGGGATGTTAATGATAAGAGTTGCAACATTTCCCCCAAACTGGCTACCGGCACCACAAAGTTTTTATGGGATACCGGCATGCTACCACACCCCAAACAAAACAAAAAAACATCGGCAAACAAAATGACCTGGTATTGTTGATTCTAGCTTACCCCTTCAAGAGATATCACATTTTGGCAACTTCAGTAACCATCCCACCCAGCAGGCAGCAGCAACCCTTAATCCAAAACGTTAGCGATGCTTCCAGTTCCAGCACTCTCGGCCAGTTTCACGTAGGTACTTGTAATTTTGTTACCTCCACCCTCTCTGACCTGGTCACGCCCCTGGAAGTTGCAATCAATTACTTCCAAATGCCGCACTTTTGTCTGCATATATTTTGTTTGTGGCAGATTCAGTAAGCAAAATCACTGAAAGCCCATTATTACATGGACGTAGGCAAGGACGTAGGTACTTGTCGAACTTCATGCGATTACTAGGTTGAGCCTTCTCCTCATTTGACCCTAGCACAGCCTCGGCTGTTATGAACGGATTATTTGCATGTCCGGCCACAACGTCCGACTTGCATTTTTGATAACTCCTAGCCTTTTATCAGTGCAAGCTACATAGAAGCGTGTTAGTATTACATGCAAGGCAGTACACATCAGTGTTAAGCTCTAGATTAACCTTCTTGACTGACATTGAACAATGCCCGAAAGTGAAGCGAAAGTGAAACGAAAGTGAAGCAAAGATCATTGAATAATTGCATGCTGGTTGTGTGAGTGTGAGTGCCAGGCTTTTATTTCCAATTTTCATAAACTTTTTCGAGGGTATGAGGGTAGGAGAATGATCGGTTTCGGAACGTGTCACCAAATGCTCCCTTTTACCCTAAACATTGCCGTAAATAAAAAAAATATATAAAAAACAAAGGCAAAACACCTCTCCAAATTTCTTTACATTGAATTTCCATATCCAGAGGCATCTTTTGGCAATTTTTTTTTTGTCAAAAATTGAATGGCCACATTTTGAAAATCAAAAATCAGAAATATATTATTTAAAAAAATGTTGAGGTTTTGAAAATTTTCAAAATATTTTAATTGATTAATTTTCTGCAGTCAATGAGGATTCCAATGATATCATAATAAGGTAAGTTACTGGCCATATTTTTATATAATATGAGACAAAAAGAGGGTTACTCTGAGCGTTTTGAAAATGCCACTGGCTATAACTCGTAAACCGTTTGTAGTATAACGCTGAAAATAGGAGATTAAGAATCTACGGTACAGATAACCCCCTAGACGCAATTTCATCAAAATCTGAGAGGTAGGGTGTTATGGCTTGGTCGATCTGTCATGTCATCGACCCCAACTGTCAAATAGTGATTGTCCTGATAGTCAAAACTCTTGCTTCTTTCCCACCTTGCATATTTTCTGCAGTGTGCCTATGCCAGGCTTGAAGCAGCATCATGTGAATGAACCGCAAGTAAGGTTTACGCTCCCTTTTAATCTAATTCCATTGGCTTCGTTGTTCAGCATTTTCTGTTAGCGTGCACCCACACACTAGTTGGAACATAAAAGCGCCAGTTTTGTATTAGGTACAGCCCTCTGCAAACTGCGTGGTAGGTATTCTTTTTTCGACAAAACCGGGAATAACGCGAATACTATGCTATTGGCCACTCGGAAATCGTAACAGTAAGACGTGCGAGACTCCGCACCTTAGATTGGGCTTATTTTGGTATACATTTTCCAGCTAGTTTGGCAACAATACCAGAAAGTTTTATCTGCCCCCAAAACAAACTTTTGCATTTTGTTGCTACACTAGTTGTATAATTCGTTCAGTGATAGAACCAATCGAAGGAGTGGAGCATGGCGCATCTTTATGCAATGAGATCCGACCGACCGATAACTTAGTCTTTGAGTTATTCTGGTTTTGTCGAAAAAAAGAATACCTACCACGCAGTCTGCAGAGGGCTGTACTTAATTGGACTTGCCGAAAATCCAGAAAAAAAAACATCTAAGAGTTATTTTAGATAATATTTCATGAAGCCTTTAACTGCCTTTACCTAGGTGTTATTTCTTTTTTTTTTTACCTGAAATAATTATTGAACACTTGTTTTCAATAGCTGTAAGGTGCTCTCCTAATGACCAGGTAAGATTGATTTGAAAGGGATGTGACAATGCAACATGGTGCATTTTCTGAAGCTGTCAAGCTCATGATGATGAAGGAACAATTGGTACCTATGATTAGTATTCTTTACCAGAGTGCAAACCTCTACTTATGATGGCAAATGATAAAACCATTACAGATTTTCAAAGGCTTCACCACTTTCAATGTTGCTGGGCATCCTTTGCATGATTTTTACAGGCTAGACTGCTTATCAGAATGTAAGATTAAGGATTTTGAATTTTATATTTGAGTATTCAAGAATTAAGATTCAGCTTGAAGTCTCACAGCCGTGGCCACAGCCGTAGCCGTGTTCTTGGAGATAGTTGCAGCCGCCCCCCCCCCACAGCCGTGTGGGGCTGCAGCCAGCCGCGGCTGCAGCCGGCCGGTGCAGACCTCTACAAAATATGTACGACGACATTGACAACAATATCAATCCAAATTACTCGCTCTATCAACTTAATAAAAAGGTACTAAGCCAAACTGGCATATGTTCATGACGTAGTATGGAAGCATTGTGGTACGGCTCTCGCGAGATTAAGCGGTAGGTTTTGCACTTTTACATTTCCGGTTATATCTCAGAAACCGCTCAATCTACGATGAAGCCATTTTACACGATCATGGCCGGCTTGTGAACCAACAAGTCAATCGCATCTTCAACACTTAAAAGCTTAAGACGACGAAGATATAGCCCTAAGTACACTAAATTTTCTAGGTGCAAAACCTACCGCTAAAACCCGCGAGACCTGTACTTCGTCGATAACATTTTTTTTGGGGGGGGGGGGGTCAAAAAGATATGTTTGCCCCCACCCTGGAAGATGGGGGGCGCCGTGCCCCCGCTACCCCTCCCTCTCCCCCGCTTCCGCCGGCACTGATTTGTAAACCTTCCCATTATAAGTCGATGGGGAAAAATTCAACTGCATTATTTTTAACTGAAATGTGTCGCAATGGCCAGCAGTTATGCCATGAATGACATCATTCATGACGAACCTTGACTGCCTTGAAGTCCTGTTTGCCTCCGGCGCCAGTGACAGGGCTGTCCTTCACTCCCCTCGCCCTCCCTGCACCGGGGCCCGTAGGTTGGGATCCCTCAGCTGTGAGCAGGCAGGGGCCAGCTCACGGCTCACCCTTGGTTGCAGAAACAGTTGGCACCCACCTTTCCCTAATATTCTGCAGGTAGTCGGCGACGTAGTCGATCATTTCCTTTCCAGCCTGTCGGAACTGCTCGTGGTCCATGACTTTTGATGACTCTGTCTGCTTTTCTGAATGTTCGGCCTGGCTCCTGCGAAAGATAGATGGATAGATCGATAGATAGATTAATCGAAGAGAGAGAGAGAGAGAGAGAGAGAGAGAGAGAGAGAGAGAGAGAGAGAGAGAGAGAGAGAGAGAGAGAGAGAGAGAGAGAGAGAGAGAGAGAGAGAGAGAGAGAGAGAGAGAGAGAGAGAGAGAGAGAGGAGGGAGAGAGAGAGAGACGAGCTGCAATTATACCAATAGTAGTTCAAAGACGAAGGTTATTTAAGGTAGTCTCTTTTGAAAGTACCCATCGGTGCACAGAGGAGTGGACGCTTCCTATCCCGCCCGCGTCTGAGCATTTATATTGTTATAAAATCTTACGGATGTTGCACTACATGCACAAGACAAGGGTTATCGAGGAAACAAGGGAGGTTGAGATACGAATTTTATCTGATACGGTAGAAGAGGGAGACGGGACACTTCTTCGAGCAAAAGCTAATTGGATTAACCCGGCGGCCGCTGGGCCTCCGCGCCACCCGCCGGCCGCTGGGGGGGGGGGGCATATAGTTGCCCCCCTTTACTTCTGCTACGATATCGTCGCAACGCGACAAGATAGAGAAGCAAAACGTTGCACACATCTTCCTGAATATCTAGCCGAGGCTGTGTCCAAATTTGGTGTCGATTTCATTTGAAATGACGTCACAGTGACGTCATAAGTCAAATTATAGATTTGCGACTCTCAGTTTCCTCACGATATATCAGATATATGGGACCGAATATAAAGGGCCGATTATTGGTCAGGAACTAGATGGAAGTGTACTTAGATGTTTTAGGATGACAGCAGGTGCTATCTAGTTCATTTACAGTTGAGTTTCATGCTCAGCGACATCAGAAACGGTCCGTATCGGAAAACGACAATATTTTATGACGTCACTGTGACGTCATCTTAAGTGCTACAGCCACCAAATTTTGCTAAAACATTGCCTACCCAGTAAACATGACGACGTCGGCCCGACGTCGGGCCGAGGCTCGGCCCGACGTCGGCCCAAGGTCGGTTCCACCTCGGCCCGACATCGGCTGGACGTCGGATATGCCCGCATGTTCCGACGTCCAGCCGAAGTCCAGCCGACGTCGAGCCGACGTCCGGCCGAGATCGTTTGCCGAGGTTGACGAGATCGTTTGTCGTTGGACCGACGGGGCCGACGTCGGCATGTTTATTGGGACAACGCGCCAAAAATATCAACCGGCGGCGGGATTCGAGCCCCCCAGTCGCCGACGTCGGCATGTTTACTGGGACAACACGCCAAAAGCATCAGCCGGCGATGGGATTCGAACTCCGTGTCATTCGACGCGAGGTTAGTGCGCTAACCACTACACCACACAGCCAGCTAACGAATCCGGTTTGTTTTGTTGGGTTATGCCCTTTCGGTCTGACAAGACCATTTCAGAGCCGGAAGGATCATAGGACGGAGACATTGGTCTTCTTGGCGAGCACCCTGGGTCGGGGTCCAGTTCATATAGAGTCCCTGGTCCCATTGCTATTACGTGACACTTATTGGAAAGGGCGACCCCGCAATGGATTCATAGGTATAGCCACTCTTACACACCTGCACCAACGTTTCCCAAAGTGTCCCTTTGATAAGTGGCACTTTGGCAAAGTGACATTTGCCGACTGGCCTTTCTATATGAACTGGGCCCGGCCCTGGTGAGTTGCCGGGGCTGAGCCTGACCAAAGGATAGGCCGAGCAGCCCCCAAGCACTCACCGCACCCGGCTACGGGCGAGCTCGGCTTACGGGCAATCCCAAATGGAATAAAGTTTCCCGTCCAGTCCGGATCAGGGGGTTGCGGCGTGGAGGAAGATTTGAGTTTCCTGAGGATATTTTGAATACAGAAGCTCTTTATGAAACATGAAACATGTACTTTATATTATTTTAACGGTCAAAACAGCGGCCGATGTCGGTCCGACGTCGCCCCGACGTCGGCCCGACTTCGGCTGGACCTCAGCAATTGATCTCGGTCCGACGTCGGCCCGACGTCGGCTGGACTTCGGCTGGACGTCGGAACATGCGGGCATATCCGACATCCAGCCGACATCGTGCCGAGGTTGGACCGACGTCGGGCCGACGTCGGCATGCCGATGCCGAGTTGCCGACGTCACCCCGACGTCGGCCGACGTCGGGCCGACGTCGGCATGTTTACTGGGTAGGTATTCATTTGAAGCTATGCCAAGTTTCACGTTCGTAGCTCATCAGGTTTTGGAGATATTCCGCAAAACGTAGGTAAAGGGGGGCAGCTTTATGCCCCCCCCCCCATCGGCTCGTGGGTTAAAATAGATATATACCACTTTCCTCAAATAAGCTTTTTTTCTACAGTTTTATGAATTTGTATGCTTCAAATGATCGGAAAAAAAAGCTTATGATTACAAAAGGATTAAAAAAATCATATAGGAAGAACAATTTTACATCTATGATAGATGCTAAACTGTTTGCAGCGAAAGCTTACTACGCGTTGACCAACCATATTGCATAGTTCAAACCAGCTGCATGCTGATTGGCTGACAATTAGCCTCTGCCACAGGTGGCTGCATTCTTGGCATTCTTTCCTAAGGCACTAAATTCCTGGGCAAGGGAATTATTTCGAAACGAGGAGTAGAATATCTTTGCCTAGGGTGATCGTTGGGCCGTAAAACCAAGTGATTTAGGCTAGTCTCAGCTCAAGCTACAAAACGGTTATGTCAGTTTAAAACCCCATGTCAGGAGTGGTATGGTATATTTCCTCCCGCAGTTTCCGCAAGTATCGAAACGCTGGCGCTAAGCGCGGCCGTTTTTGTCACATTGTATCATACATTTTTTACACATGCTGTCAAAATTTCAGACCACTTAAAGGGACCCTCCCACCTTAACATTAGTTTTGAGTTGAGATAGCCAAGTTTGCGGCCAGGCTCAGAAACCACCATTTATCCTGGTCGCAACCCCCGCAGCTTTATAGTGTTCAAGAAATTTCTTCCCTTTACTTGCAGGGTGGGACCAGCGTAGTCCCTATCTCTTAACACTAACGGACTCTGATGACGTCATCAAGCCCATTGACCGCGCGTTATAAAATAGAAGTCTTATATTTCAAAAACGGGCGAATATTTTTCGATGAAATTTGGTAGATGTTCATTTTCGCTCTTTCTGATTCACGGTACACCACTTTTATGCCAATTCATTAGCTTTTTTAAGGTGGGAGGGTCCCTTTAAAGGAACTATCCCACCTTCTAAAATGTTGTTAAAACCAGTTAAGTTGTGCCCGACTTTAAAGATTGGATGACCAGGAACACGGTTCTGGCATTTATTTTTCATTAAACATCTTAGGCTTCCCATATTCCAAACACAAACTTTCAAATATGTGACGTCACAGCCCAAAATTACCTCCTTCCCCAGGCCACATTACTGTCATAAAGCTCATTCTTTTTACTCTGTAGGCACCACAACAAAGTTCAGACCAAGTTTTAAGCGATTTTTCAACGAACAAGCCCATTTAAATCAGAATGGATAAACGAGGTGACGTCACACTAACGGTCGCTCCATGTTGAAGATAGGGCCTTGCGCAAGGCCCATTTTCAAATGAAGGGAACGAATTTCTTCAACACCAAGAGGCCGCGGGGGTTGCAACCTAGATAGATAGTGGTTTCTGAACCTCGCCGCAAACTTGGCTATCTCAACTCAAACCCCATGTTAAAGGTGGGATAGTCCCTTTAAGCGCAGGTCACCAGGTCAGATCAAGTGACATCACCTCAAAATAAGTGTTGATGCTTGCCTCAGCTACACCAAGTGACGGATCGCTTTAAAGGTAGTGTGCCACCTTTGAAAGATTTCCCGTTTTATTTTTCCTAGGATAAGAAGCTTCTGTTTTTACCTAATATCGCAAAAGAAATAAAAAATGGGCCTGGAATAGTGCCTTTTTCGCCTAAAAGTTTATCGGTTTTTAGATATGTATAACAACTGTTATGGGCTCACCTGCAAACAGGCGTCGGGCAACAATCGCGAATGCGGCGCACTTGTGACAATAAGCAAAGGTCATTATAGTGTTACGACCATACGACGTACGGGAATGAGTTATCAGCTGTCTAATCGTAGACAACACAATGTCGAGCCTTAAACTGTAAGCCTGTATTGGTATTGTTTCTTAAATTTGGCTGTCGAACATTAATTTGTGGTTTGAAACATGATTTTATGTAAAATAATTGATATGAAACAGCCGTCTCTTAAGTTATGACCCCATTACACCACACGCAAGTGGCAGAAATGACAATGATCAGCTGACGCATTTTTCTTGGCCGAAGTCAGAGCGCGCGGCCCGACGCACCACGCGTATTTGGAAATTCCGACCTCGACGAGCATCAGAAGCCACCTAACAGGCGTGTTCGAAACCGCAGGAGATGATGATGAACGGGTTTATCGAAACTTGATTGGATGAGCCTATCGGTAATAGCGATTTTAGTGTGTGCATTTATTGTTCATAGTGGTGTGAAATGTGGTTGGGGTACGACCGACAACCCGTCGGGGCGAATTTCGCACTGGGGTACTCAAAATTTGAAGAATTTAAGACGTTTCCATAAGTTTTGAAGGTATGGATAAGTTCTAAAAATCCGGTTCTCCTTATCCGGGTCATTAACTCCATATGGTCCAGGAAAGCTGACACACTACCTTTAACCCGCGAGTTGCTGGGGGGGGGGCGTTAAACGCCCCCACTTTTTTCGCCGGGCCATAGCTTAAAAACGGCGCGCCGCAGGCGCGCCAAATTTTGGGCACCTGTAGGAAATTGATTGAAGGTTATTGTGACAAAGTTTCAAAAAAAATCCGTCGGAAAATTTTTGAGATATCGAGGTTTTAATGACGTCATGATTTCTGAGTTTTCGACCAAAAACGGCATATGTTCGAAAAATCATATAAAATCACAGAATAAAGATACAGACATGCCGTTAACGCCATTAGACTGCCAATACCTAGAACAATCAAATGGCTATCTTCGATTATTGATTATTGTTCCACATTTTCCAAAATCTTGAACTGAATCTTGGCAATTTCTCGTGACTACTTCACGACCATGATGCATGCATTTTTTAAATTGAACTTTTTTAGCCAAACACGTACACATGTGATAAAATGAATGTCACCATCGTGTCCTACGCCCCAAATTACCCATAAAACATGTGTCACAGGCTGCGAATATCAGTTTTGATTTTCGGGGATATGTGCCTACCCGGTTGACCTGACCTTGACCCTGACCTATGCTTGACTGACCCCTACATGGAGCTGACACTCTTGTAGGCCTTATATGATGGATTGTGCACCGTTTTGACAGAGTTTATGACGAGAGGCGCCCATTGCGAAGTCCTGAAGTCCATGCTTCTGAAAGCCCGATTTCAGGTGTTTGACCTGACCTTGACCCGACCTGTGACCTCAAAATTTAACTTTACAGTACTCATCTGAAGCGTCTCGTCGCGTTCTTTCGTTTGCCGCCTCGTGCGTTTCGCTGCACCTATTGGTTCTCGAGTTATCGGCTGGGGGCGTTTAACGCCCCTCCCCAGCAAACGGCGGGTGGCGAAATACCCCAGCAACTGCCGGGTTAAAACTTACAGCAATTCATAAATGCAGCATTATGTACAAAGTGTTTATAAAAACTATGCGGTGCATAATTTTTATATTGGTGACCTAAAATCAAGTGAATTTTGCGATCTTTTTTTCTTTTCTTTTTCTAAATAGTCCACCATCCATTAACAGATGGCCAGGAGTGTAGTGACCTCAAACTAAGTGTTCCAGAGTACGGCAGAATGCATGAAACAGGTTAAAACAGGTAGGAACTCACAGAACAGAATCTAAGGAATATGGAGATGTGCACAAACCTCCAGATCAAGGTCAAGGTCATGCTCAAAATTGACCTGAAACTTCGCACTTTTTCGTATATCTTGTACACTAATTTCCAAAATGTTTAGAAATATTCTGAAGGATATCAGGCACCTATGTACTAGGTGCGTTCAATAAGTAAGTTCCGGAGAGCAATTACATAAAATTCACGCGGTCTACGCACGTGATTTTTTCAGGGATTAGAATTCAGACCTTTATGTCGAAGTGACCGCATTTTCAGCTTCTTATTCCATTTCTGTGACGATATGGAGCGGATCAAATAACACCATTTTTTTTAGACTGCTTTAGAAATGGCATCGGCCTCCCGAGAGGATCAACGTTCAGTGATACGATTCCTAGCTATTCAGGGCTAGCCGGCGGCTTACATCCACGCCAACTTCGTGAATGTGTACGGGAGCCATGCTCTTAAAGATTCCGCAGTTCGGAAGCGGAAGAAAAAGTTTGGGGAGGGGAGGGAGAGCGTGCGCGACCTGGCACGTGCAGGCAGGCTGAGGACGATGGTCACAGCCACTGACGTCGCCAAAGTGGAGGAGATGGTGATGGCCAACAAAAAGATTACTGTCCAGGCGATAACAGAAAGCCTAAACATAAGCCTACGCCAGGATCATTAGAGACCATCTCCTGCCAGTAATCGCCAGTTGCCGCCCCGAGAAGGCCCGTGGTCGGTTCATCCTCCACCAGGATTGCACGCCTCCTCACCATGCCCTCGTGGCGAGGGATGCCCTGCAGGCAGAGGGCATCGAGGTGCTCTAACACCATCCCTACTCTCCCGACGGCACGCAGTGACTATTGGCTGTTCGCAGACATGAATACAAATCTCCGGGGCCGGAGGTTCGGCTCGCGGTCTGCACTCGGGTCTGCTTTTTACCAGTATGGCGAAAAGGCCCTCACTCAAAGCTTCCGTGCGGCCATCCAGGACCTGGCCAAGCGATGGGAACGATGCGTTCGCCTGCAGGGCGAGTTCGTCGAGCCGTGAGGCGTGAGCCATGTTTGGTTGAGATGTGCCAAAAAATAAACGAGTTATATCAAAACGGAACTTACTTATTGAACATACTGGTATGTATGTATTTACGATCATGGGCGATCCACACATGGCGTGGCGATTACTGCCCAGAGTCTGAGTCGGGTATAAGCATGCAGGAACAGAGACTAGTCGAACAACAACAACACAAACACACACACGCACACACATGTGCTACGATTTCTAACGTACCGTGTATTTATATATTACAAGACGAGTGCCTAATTCAGGTCATCACGAAGGTCTATCGTTTTTCCACAGAGACTTGACAGCGCGTGCGAATTTAGAGGGAGGCAGCTGTGAGAGTTCGGGAGGTAGGTCGTTTAGGAGCGCGGCGGCACGGTAACTGAAACGCCGCTTACCGGTTTCTAGTCTGGGACGCTGGAGCTGGAGAAGGTTATCCTGACGTGTATTTCTATTCCTGGTTAAGGAGTCCCGGTTTTTGGCAAACATAGAGGCAAGTGCTACCGGTTCGCCGTAGTGTATCGCCTTACGTGCAGTGGCCATGGTTTGAAGTTTGTACATAAATTCGGGCGGCATCCAGTTAAGTTTCTCGCGCAGGTCAGTGACGTGTCGAATTTGCGGCGGCCAAAAATAACTCGAGTAGCGAAGTTCAAGATCTTTTGGAGTCGATTCAGGTTCTTTTTTTGTACCATTTCCGTAAACTGAGAGGCAGTAATTTACTCGGGAGATGACTAGAGATGTGACAATGGTTTTGACGCTATTTGACAACCTATTTGTGGTTCATGTTACGATAAATGGCTGCCCCAAGGTCAAGGTCGGGCAAGAGTGTCCTTGCTAGAGGCTATTTCACTTACTCAAGTCAGCCATAATAATTCAGCCATTTTTGCTATCCTGACGCTCTAAATGGATGCTTAGAGCAAAATGGATGCCAGGTTCGTGATCAGCGGCTACAAATTCACCATATAACACCTTCCGTGTGTCAAGGTCAACCAAAGGTCATTCGTGGTCACATGAGGTCAACATAAGCCTTTATAATTTAATAATTTAAAACAAAATATATGTCAATCAAATCAATAGTCAAGTCAATCAATCAATATATGTCAAAATATAATCTATAATTTCTAAACAAAATATATGTCATTCGACGCGTCTTAACAAGGCGAATACGTTGGTACGGGGACCCGCAATTGCTACTGTACACGAACCCCAACTCTAGCCGTCTGTCCTGTCCAGTAACAACCGATAACATTGATATCGACCGCCGGTCCCTGTACAAGAGCAGCTGAGGTTTTCTCTGCGTGCCCTCTGACAGCTTATCCTTGCTCCCTGTGGGGGTGCTGGGACAATTTACTCAGGGTCGCTGTACAGTGGCAACTGCGGGTCCCCGTACCACTGCCTTAGCTCTACAGCCATTTTTGTTGAAGCTATTTGCGAAAAACTAAAATTCCGCCTCGGGGTCGTTGACCTGACCTCTGCCCTCAGGTCACTATTTTTTTGTATTTTCACCTAAGTCATATTCTACACAACCGTGCTCGAAATTTGTCTTCAGCTCTAAAACCCTATTTTTGTCAGCTGTTTGAAGTTCACGGCTGTGACGTAGAAATTTGCGTTAGGCGGCACGGGCGGACATCGATAGCAGCGCCTCTATCGGTCACTAGGGAAAGCTAGGCTGTAGGCGACGATATACCGGCTGAGTTGTCACACGTTGAATAGGTTTATAGCCATCCGTCTTGTGAAAAAGTTGAACTTTTGCCTTTTATATTTCTACAGGCAATTTTAGAAGTGTCTTCACATGGATTACAAAACCGTTTAGGTTATTGTATTCACTTCAAGCCTTCCCTATTGTTCTTGATGATGCGGGAACTATTTCTAATTAGTGTTTCTAGCTTAGTAAAAGAACATACTGTGCAAACGATGAAAAAAGCATAAATGGAAGATTTTAAATGCAATTTTCTCTAACAATTAATGGTAAATTCTCTACATATCAAGGAAAAGGTGCATGCTATTTGATAATTTAAAGTTCTTGGGGCCAATTGTTTTCTTCTTTTCTTACGTCGCCCCAATGGCCGCGAATACACTTGTGATAACGCCTATCGGCCGTGCAAGGGTCTAGGAAAATTGGCCCTGTGACGTCATCAATAGGGCTGGGTCCAATTTTTTACTTCAGGAGATGTAAAATTGATGGGGGAAAAGGTACTGAAAGTTTGGCGCCTCTACCGCAAAGCGCTCGGGAGCTATCGCAAATATTCGTCAGGGGGAAGGGAGTAAATATTGTCCCCCGGGCCCGCCAGGGCTAGGGACCGGTTAGTAGGGTGCCGTGCACAAGCTAGTTGGAGGTACCCCCTCGCAACTTCGCACGTGCAAGGCCCACCCTCTCGCTCGCTCCGTTGGTCGCCCCATAAGGTGTTTTACTGGTGAGATATCAATGGAAATGAAACCCACGACTTAAGTGTAATAATGAACAGCTTGAACGGTTTCCTAGAAGACATTTGAGGTCTAAGGAAAGGCATGATAATCTATTTTATTTCAGGGATTGTTAGGCGAAAATTTTCCAAAACTGACGGGCAGTAGCTGCTGGGACCGCACCTGGAGCGATGGGCAGTAGCTGCTGGGACCTCACCTGGAGCGATGGGCAGCAGCTGCTGGGACCGCACCTGGAGTGATGGGCAGCAGCTGCTGGGGTCCGCTCCGACAGACGGGTGCGCTCGGTGGACGGCGCGTGGTCTGACGCCGCGGCGGCGGTCAGACGCCAAGTGGGCCGGCCCGCCCCTCGGGCGCGCCACAGGTGGCCCAGTCCCGGTCACCGGCACGCCCTCTGCCCAGCCGTCTCGGCAGATCGTTACAGTCGGCCCCACCACCGGCACGCCGTCTGCCCAGCCGTCTCGGCAGATCGTTACGGTCGGCGCGATCGATGGCCGGGAGCCGCGCGCCGCGGCCGCTGCCAGCCGCGCCAGATACTCGCTGATTGTGTCAGTCAGTCAGTCACTGGAGACAACATTATCTCTGCCGACCGGCTGCTCTTTCCACCACCTGTAGGCAACGCACAAACAGTCCTCGGCTCCCAGCAGCCTCCTGGCAAACATATGTTTTTCGTGATGTGTCTTTTCCCCGGCCTTGACGAAGTCCGTGGGGCGCCGGGTAAGGGGAGTGGAGGGGGCACCTGGTTCCCTGAGAAAATTGTGCGGAGCAAAAGTATATGGTTGCCTTTCCATGATTTGCGGCATATGCTTTTGGTGCAAGTATTGTATTATATTATTCTCTGGTGATGATGAATTGGGGTTTTTGGGCGCCCGGACTACAGCGGTCATCAGCGGCCATTGTATTATTCTCTGCGGTCATCAGCGGCCATTGTATTATTCTCTGCGGTCATCAGCGGCCATTGTATTATTCTCTGCGGTCATCAGCGGCCATTGTATTATTCTCTGCATGGATTTCCTCTGCTTGGATTATCTCTAGAGACCCCAGGTGCACTATAGTATACATGGTTTCAGACCCGACTAAATGTTCGTGAATTGATTCCGAGATCGCATCGACAATGCTCATACGTTAGAGCCGTCCAATTGCAGCTACCTGGTGCCAAAAACACACCTCTCATTTAAAAAGCCGCCTTTTGGCCTGTCGGCTCGGCAGACACTTGAAGGCGAGGCTCTCCATGTTTTTTTTTTAAGTGAGTATGAACGGTAATGGGTTTCACTCTGGGTCGAGGAATATCCAAGCGTTTATACACTTCATACATCATGCGGGCTAAAATGACTGCTCAGGACGCAAACATTTCGAACGATACTTCTAGGCTTAAAGGGACTGTCCCACCTTTGCATTAGTTCTGAGTTGAGATAGCCAAGTTGGCGGCCAGGTTCAGAAACCACAATATATCCTGGTCGCAATATCCTCAGTTTCGTGGTGTTAAAGAAATTCGTTCCCTTCATTTGAAAAGTGGGCCTTAGCTAAGGCCCTATCTCTTAACTATTAACGGCCATTTGATGACGTCAATTACTCATTTGCCTTTTGAACGCCTGTCACACATTCAAGTGAAGTATCACTTGATTTACGAATAAGCCAATCAGAGACACTTTGGTTATTGTATGAGCCGCGTCATATTTGAGAGCAAATATATTTGCTGCCAAATTTCCCCTCACATTGACATGAAGTAAATCCTTCATTACGTCACAGATTCGATATAAATGACGTCACGATGAAATATAAAAGTCGCAATATCTCAAAAAGTTTGCGATGAAAACGCGTAAAAACTTGCAGAATTCGTCAAAATATCATGAGTAACATTTCCGAATCCTAAACGGTACTTTTTTGAAGGTGGGATAGTCCCTTTAACAATGCAGAGATCTAGCACAGAACCAGAAGAAAAAGTACTCGTTCTGACCCGCTGGCTTAGAGAGTGGTCGTCTAAAAACTCGGAGAGCCGGCGATGGGTGGGGTCGCTATTGTCCTTCAGCCAGTCACAGTTTAAATCCCTACAGATGACCAGGGGTGTCCCAGCATAATTGACGAAGAGGTGCTGAACTTGAGCCTCAAGGTCGCTGAAGTTGTCTTGTAGAGCGCCAGCGGTATGCCGTGGTGGTCGATATAACGATCCGGTGAGGAGCTGCCGGCCTCGCTCGAGCCCAAGCATGGCCCACTTTGACTCGAGTTTGCTGGCGGGGTTTCCAGTACCGGGTACGTTCAGACTCGATGAAGAGAGTCCGGTCTTGACGAGGATGGCGACGCCGCCGTAGCCCCCGTCGGGTCGGTCTGCTCGACTGATGACGAAGCCGGGGACCACGTGGGACCACGGTAGACGGCCGCAGCCGGGGCTCCGAGAGTAGCATAACGTCGAAATTTTGGTGTTGTAGCATGGCTGTTAAATCAAGGAGTTTTGGCTTCAAAATCTGAATATTGAGCGCGCCAATGCGTATGCTGCCCGACCACGCCCGCTCCCTGCGGCCCCTCTTCCCACGCGCACCGCGCCTCACGGGTCTGCCTCCTCTAGCCTGTGACCGCCGCTGCGCTTCTCGGCCAGCGGGCGAGGACGCCGGCCGGACGGCGCCTGGGGCGACGTGACGTCATGGGTCAGGGCCGGCGCGGCGGGAGGCGGCCGGGAAGCGCATTTACAAACTGTATACACGCCTTCGGAGCGCCAATCATATTGCACCAGCCGCTGGCGTGACGTCGGCCATGACGTCAGAGAAGGGGCGGAGCGAAGTTGGTTAGCCAGCTGTTTTCACAGCGCGGCGGGCGGCGCAGTGCGGCGGGCGGCGCAGTGCGGCGAGCGCGCGATTTTGTTTGTAAACAATCGTTGCCAAGGCCGTATTGGTATAGATGGTTGCAGCGTGATTGATTTTGATTGTTTGATTGATGTGATGCGACGAGTATCATGGATGAGGATACTTACGATAGCATAATTGGTTAACACAGTTGCCTGCAAAGTTTGAATGTCAATCAAACCGATCGTCCATCAAGTGCCTGTGGCCAAGTGGCTATGATCCTCGCATATCACTTAGAGGAGCCGAGTTCGATTCTTGGGGCGGCGAGTTTTTCTCATGAGCTCCGACGTCTAATTGAACGGTTTTACGTAAGCCTATAAGTAATATAAAGCAAACCCCTCTTATTGACGAACGCGGTTGGCGGCTCACACGCATGTTGCAGGTCAGAGTGGGTGGTATGAAACGACGCGTCTCGACCGTCTCCGTGTTGTTTGCTAGGTGTGCGCGCTGTCAGTGCACGGGTTTTGTGCATTTCGCCGAAAATCATTCTGGATTCTAATGAAATCGGACGTCTAAATAGGCCGACTCGGCGGCGCTCTGAACGGCAGACGGCTTAAAAGATCAACTTGAAACTTATACGCCCGTCTAGCGGCATCGATTTTGGCGAGGCACTTTTCGGATCTTCGGCATTTTGGAGCATAGTTAGAGATCCGAAAAGTGCCTCGCCAAAATCGATGCCGCTAGACGGGCGTATAAGTTTCAAGTTGATCTTTTAAGCCGTCTGCCGTTCAGAGCGCCGCCGAGTCGGCCTATTTAGACGTCCGATTTCATTAGAATCCAGAATGATTTTCGGCGAAATGCACAAAACCCGTGCACTGACAGCGCGCACACCTAGCAAACAACACGGAGACGGTCGAGACGCCTCGTTTCATACCACCCACTCTGACCTGCAACATGCGTGTGAGCCGCCAACCGCGTTCGTCAATAAGAGGGGTTTGCTTTATATTACTTATAGCTTACGTAAAACCGTTCAATTAGACGTTGGAAATGGGAAAAACTCGCTGCCCCGAGAATCGAACTCGGCTCCTCTAGGTGATATGCCAGGATCATAGCCACTTGGCCACAGGCGATTGGTGGACGATCGGTCTGATTGACATTCAAACTTTGCAGGCAACTGTGTTTACCAATTATGCTATCGTAAGTATAACTTGGTATTTCGGATGGTATTTCCCAAACAAGATCAGGGGTTTTAGCTAGTTGTAAATATTCAACACAACATTACGATTTCTCATCGAGTAGGTAAGCTCCACGATCCGCGAGTCTTCCGCTCCGCCCCTGCACTTGACGTCACCTGCCAAGCGCCGCTACAGCCTTTCACTCCGCCCATTGGCATGACGTCACGGCTCGGTCTCCGAAGACGTGTATACAGTTTGTAAATTTGCGGCCGGGAACTCCAGGCTCGGCGCGTGGACGACCCGGCCGGCGCACAGTGACGTCACGTACCAAGTTACAGACCGTGCGCATACTGCCGACGCCGACGCCGAGATTGGTTGGTCGCTGGGTATGTACATAGGGCGGGCTGCGGGCTGCAGATCAGCACCAGCAGCCGCACAATGGCCAGAAGAGTTAGGTGACGAGCCAAGTCACGATGCATGGCAGTACGATCAGTCACTCTCACGTTGATCGTGTGTCGTCACTCACGTCCGTTGTGATGATAGGCGATCCACCGAGTCAGAGTGCTCACTGAATACACTAGCACATGGCCATGCCTACAGCCACACGCACTCCCACTATCACACGGGAAAGGCTCGCTGCCGTAGACGGGCTGGGACGAGCAGCGCTCGCGTCCGCACTCGGCGGCACGCTCAGCTGAACTTGGTCATTAATTTGTGACATGGCGGCAATCGGCTGTACAAGGAGATTTTGGTAATTTTGCGTGTCATTTTCGTGATTTTGCACAATTTTGCTGCCAAATGACTTCCTTGTCACTTTCTTTATTCACTATGTTTTGTTCTTTTGCCATTAAAGAGGTCCAAATATAAAATGATGCTTACATACTCACAGCCATTTATCCAGACAAGCGAGGCTATAAACGCGGCATTTCCATTATAGTGCTTACACCTGTAGTGACGCTCGATGTTGTCAGGTTATCGCGTGGGGTAACGCCGCCCGGTTGGGAGGTATTGCCCCTATATATGATCATATATAGACATATAGTCTTGTATGCCAATGGCTTTTTCTCCAATGTACATCAAACTTGACCGGGGCATGAACGGAAGAGCAGAAGCCATCTTACAAATGGGATTCAGCCCGTTTAAAGGAAGATGAATAAAAACGAACTATTTATGCACTTTGGACGCATTCCTGCACGTAATGCACATCCAGCTATACACCAGGTGGCCAAATAGTACGACGGAAAATCATCTGATCGCAACAGCTCGCAGCTTAGCTTGGATCCACAGTATTTCAGTCGGTGACATGCCAGGGAAATCAGCTAAAATTAGAGCGCTCTATTTATTGATCCCGCTACGTCACCGCCTCCCATAGGGTCCTG